CTTCTCTCTCTCTTCCTTAAAAAGTCTTTTGCCAAAAGGACCTCGGTTGCACCCCACTCAAAATCTCCTTCCTAACCCAAATAGGATTTTCCTATTTCTGTCTCTAATCATCTAATCCCTGACGTTTGGAACGGACCTTCTTAAAGCCTCCTGATCCATGACTCGGTCGGTTTCACTTCCAGACACTTCTGTTTGCGTTCTAGGCAAAAGTCAACTTTTAATCGAAGTATTAAGCCATAAACTCATAAAAACCTTGAATGAGAAAGTCACGTACGTCATTTAATCTAACCTCCTGTTGAAAGCTAAACGTCCCCAATCTTTTAATCTCTTTTCACAGGTCTTAATTTCTAATCTCCAATCAAGTAGGATTGGAAACGTTTTTCATTCTATGAGCCTGCTTCTGCTTCTCTAAATCTTCCTTCCTTCCCTCCCTCTCCTTCCTTTCTTTCTTCTCCCCCTCCCTCTCTCCCTCCCTTCCTCTCCTCTTCCTTCCTTCCTTCTTCTCCTTCCTTCCCTCCCCCTCCTTGCCTGTCCTTCCTTCCTCCCTTTCCTTTCTTTCTTTCCTTCCTCCCTTCCCTCCCTTCCTCTCCTCCCTTCCCTCTCTTTTCTTCCCTCCCTCCCTTCCTCTCCTTCCTTCCTTCCTTCTTCTCCTTCCTTCCCTCCCCCTCCTTCCCTTCCTTCTTTCCTTCCTTCCTTCTTTCCTTCCTTCCAGCACTTAGATGGGGGTCCCATCATTACACAATAAAATCCACACTGTGACTTCTCAAAATTTCTAACGTCATTGCTGCTTCATCTGGTTGCCCAGTGCAATTCTATCTTTATTTCTATCAACAATTTGCTATCTATTTCTTTCTTTCTTTCTTTCTTTCTTTCTTTCTTTCTTTCTTTCTTTCTTCTTTCTTTCTTTCTTTCTGTCTGTCTGTCTGTCTGTCTATCATCTATCTATCTATCTATCTATCTATCTATCTATCTATCTATCTATCTAATCATCTATATATCTATCTATCTATATATATATCTCTCTCATCTATCTATCTATCTATCTATCTATCTATCTATCTATCTATCTATCTATCTATCTATCTATCTATCTATCTATCTATCTATCTAATCTATCATCTATCTATCTATCCATCTATCTATCTATCTAAGTCGAGTGACATCAATTGATTTGATACTTGCTACTAACCCATTGCAGGGGTAGTCAACCTTGGCTCTTTTATGACTCGTGGACTTCAACTCCCAGAATTCCTGAGCCAGGAATTCTGGGAGTTGAAGTCCACGAGTCATAAAAGAGCCAAGGTTGACTACCCCTGCATTAGAGAGTCAGTTTGATCTAGCAGCTGAGGCTAGAAATTGGGAGAACATGAGTTCCAGTCCCACCAGAAGCACAAAGCCAGCTGGGTGCCCTTGGCCGGTCTCTCTCTCTCAGCCCTAAGAAGGAAGTAATGGCAAACCACTTCAGTAAACATTAACAAGAAAATTGCAGTGACTTGTCCAGCCCAGAATCAAACACTGACTTGAAGGCCCGTGCGCGCGCACACACACACACAAACACACACACACACACACACACACAAAAGATACACACAGACCCGTGGCTTGTTCGGTTTTAGCTGAACAAGGTCAGTAAACTCAGCCTTTGTGACTGGTTTACGGCTTAGCCACATTGGGTAACCTCAAGATTATAGTTTAATAAACCACGGCATAAAAACTATGGCTAAGTGTGATGTGTTAACCCAACCAATCTTTCAGGACTATAATACATGAAATAAACGTAAAAGAACATACAGCAAAAATAGCTTCTAAAGTAGTCCAAGGAAAAAGAGAAGTACATTTGCACAACTGATTTAATTTACCCCATGGTTCTTGTACAAATCTAACCAAACCAAAAGTGGGTTTGCACAATTAAGCTCCAGACTCTGCCTCAACTAAACACACATAGTATTTTACACATACGCAGCTGTTACTACTTTGGCTATTTCTACGGGTGGTGTGAACATAGCTACTACAGCAATGATGAAATGGAAGGGAGAAAAGATTACCAGCTACTGTGCTTTTAATCCCAAGAGATATCCAGAAATAACAGTGTTATCCAAGCCATGCTATTTGCATAGATAGAAAAACAGCAGCAGGGAATCATTACGCTGTATTTGCAAAAATATTTCAGAAGATAGTACCCATGTTTTAAGAGTCGGCATGAAATCTTTACAGACATCCAGCATGCAAAAAAAGCTTGTACGTCAAATTCCACAGATACAAATATTAAAACCTTAACTGTTCTGGCACCTGGGACTTTGCTATCCTGCTCAAACTCAACTTGGGAAGCGCTCCTGAAATTTACTACTACCAAATTCAGATAAAAACGATTATTTGTACCCAGAATAGCAGCATCTGATTTTCCAGTACTAAAAAAAATAATTAATTTTGGATGCCTGAAACATATACACACACACACACACACATATATCCATCCACCCAACACCAGCAAATATCCACAGATACAAATATTAAAATCTTAACTGATCTGGCACTTGGGACTTTGCTATCCTGCTCAAACCCAACTTGGGAAGCACTCCTGAAATTTATTACCAAATTCAGATAAAAAACGATTCTTTGTACCCAGAATAGCAGCACCTGATTTTTCAGTACTAAAAAAAACCACCCAACACCAGCAAATATTTAGGACGTATTTTCCCCAAATTACAGAAACATTCGTTTTTGAATGTTCAAATTCCATTTGAATCACACACACATACACACTGGTACACAAACGGACACACAAAATGCACAATCTGTAAAGTGACTTGCAAACAGATAATTGCTCCCTTTAAGTGGCTGTCTCATCAAAACAACGTCCTCTTAGGAGTTCCTGCCTGGGCAGGGGGTTGGACTCGATGACCTCCAAGGTCCCTTCCAACTTTATTATTATTATTATTATTATTATTATTAAATCTAAATTAAATCAGTTTTCCTTTGCTGTCTTCTCAATTCAAAGTCCACGAAAGAACAAACGGGACATCAGAACGGTGTTCTACGCTAACCTTGGTCTCACACACACACCCCAAATGAAGTCCCCAAACCCTTCGCGGACACACAAAATTAAAACCGTGCTAATTTTGCAAAAGGGAGAGGGATGTTTTCGTGCCAAAACTGCTTCTAGTCGTCCCCCCAATTTTTAATCGAAGCATCCTCTTAGAATTTGTTCTGACGGAAAAACAAAAGTCAAAATTGAAAAAAGGGAGGTGGGCTATTAAGCATAACGCCAGGAAAACTCCCGCAAGCTCTTCCGGTTTCAAGGCCTGGCCTTTGTTGTGAGTGGGGCCATTATATTGTCCTGCAAACAGCTCTTCCAGACCGCCTTCAGCTGAGCCCCCCCCCTACGTTGGCAAAGCATCTGGTGTGCAGGAGACCCCCCCCCAAGCTTCTTATGCTAATCGCATCTGGTTCCTTGTCTTTGACGTCCCCTCCTCCCCCTCTTCCATCTGCTTATCTGGTCCACCTGTTGTGTTGTTGTCCCATGTTTAGATTGCAAAGACCCCCGTTCAGAAGGGACACAGATTTCATCTCGTTCACAAGGAACCAAACAAGGCACCCCCGTCTCTCTTCAAAGCCCATGAGAACGTCCCTCATGGGGAAAAAAAAAACCTGATGGAGCTCCTGGAGACCATGCTCCTTTCCACCCTCTCTGAAAACAGAAGTCAAGAAGGAACCAAATATGGAGCCCCATCTCTCACCAAAGTCCATGAGAACTTCCCTCATGGAAAAAATCTGAGGGAGCTCCTGGAGACCATGCTCCTTTTCACCCTCTGTGAAAACAGGAGTCAAGAAGGAACACCTAGATTTCTTTCACGTTGAACCAAACACGGGGCCCCATGAGAACTTCCCTCATGGGAAAAAAGCTGATGGAGCTCCTGGAGACCATGCTCCTTTCCACTCTCTGTGAAAACAGAAGTCAAGAAGGAACACCTAGATTTCTTTCATGTTGAACCAAACATGGGTGCCCATCTCTCACCAAAGTCCATGAGAACTTCCCTCATGGGAAAAAAATCTGATGGAGCTCCTGGAGACCATCCTCCTTTCCACCCTCTGTGAAAACAGAAGGCAAGAAGGAACCAAATATGGAGCCCCATCTCTCACCAAAGCCCATGAGAACTTCCCTCATGGAAAAAAATCTGATGGAGCTTCTGAAGACCATGCTCCTTTTCACCCTCTGTGAAAACAGAAGTCAAGAAGGAACACCCAGATTTCTTTCATGTTGAACCAAACATGGAGCCCCATCTCTCACCAAAGTCCATGAGAACTTCCCTCATGGAAAAAATCTGAGGGAGCTCCTGGAGACCATGCTCCTTTCCACCCTCTGTGAAAACAGAAGTCAAGAAGGAACACCTAGATTTCTTTCACGTTGAACCAAACACGGGGCCCCATCTCTCACCAAAGCCCATGAGAACTTCCCTCATGGGAAAAAAGCTGAGGGAGCTCCTGGAGACCATGCTCCTTTCCACCCTCTGTGAAAACAGAAGTCAAGAAGGAACACCCAGATTTTTTTCATGTTGAACCAAACACGGGGCCCCATCTCTCACCAAAGCCCATGAGAACTTCCCTCATGGGATAATAGCTGAGGGAGCTCCTGGAGACCATGCTCCTTTCCACCTGTGAAAACAGAAGTCAAGAAGGAACACCCACATTTCTTGCATGTTGAACCAAACATGGAGCCCCATCTCTCACCAAAGCCCATGAGAACTTCCCTCATGGAAAAAAATCTGAGGGAGCTCCTGGAGACCATGTTCCTTTCCACCCTCTGTGAAAACAGAAGTCAAGAAGGAACACCCAGATTTCTTTCACGTTGAACCAAACACGGGGCCCCATGAGAACTTCCCTCATGAAAAAAAAAGAAGCTCCTGGAGACCATGTCCCTTTTCAACCTCTGTGAAAACTGAAGTCAAGAAGGAACAGCCCGTCCTTCCTTGATTTCCATCCCAAGTCAAAGAAGAAGAAACGTTCCCTTACCTTCTTTTTGGAGTGAGTATGGTCTTCTTCTCTGGAGGCCTTGCTGTTTTTCCCAGCTCTGGAAAGTTTGGGCTCCCCAGATTGCTTAATGGTGATCTTGATCTCTGGAGGGCAAATATAGTTCTCCAGGCTTTTGGGGGGCTTCTTGGCCCTCTTGGTGGTCTGGATTTTCAACTTCAAGCTTCCCTCGGTGAAGTTGGCCTCCTTGATGGAGAATTCCTGTTCCTCCAGGCCATCGCCAGTTACCCACTTCTCGCTGTCGGCGTTGGAGATGGAATCCACATCCCTCCTGGAGCCAAGCTCGTCCTCTTCCTCAATTTCCATACGATGATGATCTCCGCTCCCCGAGATCCCTTTTGTAGAGCTGGACGTAGAGAGCAGGATCTCTCCAGATACTCCAAGAGCAGAAGGAGCTTTGGCAGAAGCGATAGTAGATACCAAGAAGTCCGTCTCACTTCCCCTCGTCCGGGAAGGGCCTAAATTTTCTCTCGGCTCCATAGCAATCCCCCAGTCTCTGAAAGTTTATGGGGGGAGCAGAGGAGACCAAGCTGAAGAAGAGGGGAGCCTTACCCCCCCCCCAGAAGAGAAGGCGAGATCCCACTTGGCGTTCCTCAGAAGTCGAAATGTCTGACCGCAAGAAGGAAGTCAAAAACTCTCAGATCTGCAACTGAGGGGAACAAACAAAACGGAGAGCAGAGAATCAGAATTTTCAGCGTGGATTCAAGTTGCTGTCAATACACATCTTAGCACAGGGAGACGATTGAGCCCAACATTTTTGTGGCTAACGAGGAAGCTGCTACGCAAGTTTTTGCCCATTTTACAACCATCGTTGCCACCGACGTTAAGCCAATCGCGGCAGTTGTGGAGTGAGTCTACGCATTCAGTATTGATAATACTCAACTATGTAGATCAGGGGTCTTCAAACGTGGCCCTTTTATGACTGGTGGACTTCAACTCCCAGAATTCCTCAGCCAGCGTGCCTGGCTGAGGAATTCTGGGAGTTGAAGTCCACCAGTCATAAAAAGGCCAAGTTTGAAGACCCCTGCATTATGTGATGCCACAAAGTAGAAGAGCAGGTTGGGGACAAAGCATAGCTGGGGAATTCTGGGAGTTGAAGTCCACACCTCTTAAAATGGCCGCGGTTGAGAAACACCGGTTTAGCTCTTTCTGAGTTAGCATTATTTCCCCCTCACATTATGTCAGGGGTCTTCAAACCTGGCCCTTTTTTGACTGGTGGACTGCAACTCCCATAATTCCTCAGCCAGGCACGCTGGCTGAGGAATTCTGGGAATTGAAGTCCACAAATCATAAAAGGGCCAAGTTTGAAGACCCCTGATGTAGATCAACCCATCATCGTGCAACTGAAGTCATGGACAATCATCGGGTCCAGGAGAAAATAGAAGATGTCAAATGTATATCTCATAATAGTTAACAAGACTATATATCTGTTGGGCATCCAAGAAACGTTATTCTGCTTCAGCCATTGTTGTTTCTTAGCTTGCCTACAAACACAAGAGGGAGGGGGGATGTTGGAGTGCTCAACACACTTGTAAACGATCCAGCCTGGGAAGCAAAGTCATTGGCGAACAGTTTGGCTAGGAACTGAAGATTTTTCTCATAACAAATGTCTGACACTTAATTGGGGAACGTGACCTGCGTTGAGGGGCTGCCACAAGGCAGAGGGGGCCAGGTTGTTCCCCAAAGAACCAGAGGGCAGGACGAGAAACAATGGCTGGAAACTGATCAAAGAGAGAAGCAACCTGGAATCAAGGAGAAACTTCCTGACAATGAGGACAATCAACCAGTGGAACAGCTTATTCCCCAGAAATTGTGGGCGCTCCATCACTGGAGATTCTTAAGAAGAGACTAGACATTCACCTGTCTGGGATAGTATAAATTCTCCTGCTTGAGCAGGGGGCTGGACTAGAAGACCTCCAAGGTCCCTTCCAGCTCTATTCTATTCTATTGTCGGGGGGGGGGGAGATTCTATACTTTTAATTTGCTGTTCTGGCGCTAATTTAACCAGAGCTGGTTTTCCGCTCATCAGTGCCAATATGCTGTGCTCAATAAAGTTTTGCATTGGAGATTGGAATGTCTCCGCTCTGCTTACTTTGTTGCGCTCATCAGTCGGAAACTTGACACACTCGTTCAGTGTCAGTTCCAAGTTACGACGGTTTTGAACGAGTGGCACCTATCAACAGATCGTGAAGTTCTGGCTTTCCTAGCACCCGTCCAGTGATTCAGCAGATTCAACGTACGATGGCTGCAGGGAGCATATGGTCACGTGATTGACATTAGGGCCTTCCCTGCTTTCCTACAAGCAGTCAAAGGGGAAGCCGGGCACAGAAGGTTGCAAGTTGCTCTAGTAAGATGCTCCCATTCTTGCTGGGTTTTTTTTTGTTGTCTTGTGGAGCCTGGCCATGGCAGCCACCTGCACACCATGCATAGAGTGCTCTCTTGCCATCTGGAGTAATCACTCCAAGCTCAGCCACACTCGTGTCGTGTGCAGCCGCTGTAGAGCAGCCGAAGACTCCCCATCGAATTCCTGCTGTCTTCCCCAATGACTTGGTTAGTTGGCAGACAACAGAAAGTCACGGGTAGGTCCTCACTTAACAATCTGTGGCCCTCACTTAACAAAAGCAAAAAGGATCGCCATAGCTAAACAATGTGACATCACACTATACGACCACCTTGCGTAGTGAAGATTCTGGACCCAATTCCGGTGGTAAAACCGAAAAACTAGAAAAAGGGTTCGACCATCATCTACTTTTAAAAAGTGATCCTCTTCTATTACCGTGTTTTCCCTTGACGTGATGGCCCGTTGCCTGGAGGCCGTACGGGTCTGGATGGGGAGGAACAGACTCAGGCTCAACCCTTCCAAGACCGAGTGGCTGTGGTTTCCGGCGCCTCGGCATAGTCAGCTGATGCCATCGCTGACTATAGGGGGCGAAACCTTGGCCCCCTCAGAGAGGGCGCGCAACTTGGGAGTCCTCCTGGATTCNTGGGTGCCCCTACCCTCTGGAATGAACTACCCCCCGAGATCCGGATAATTCCGGATCTCCTTACCTTCCGTCGCGCCCTCAAGACATGGCTCTTTCAGCAAGCGGACCTGACCTAGGGTGGATTTTATATTGGGTTTTAAATATTCGGAAGACGCAACATTAAAATTCGGTTTAATTCGGTTTTAAGGGGGGGATTGTACATATGTTAATGGTTTTAAATATGTTGTGCGCCGCCCTGAGTCCCTGTTGGGAGAAGGGCGGCATATAAATTAAATTAAATAAAAAAATAAATAAAATAAAGTAAGGCCTACCCTGAAAATAAGCCCTAGCTTGATTTTTGGGTGTGGGTCTAATACAGGGGTAGGTAACCTTGGCTCTTTTATGACTAGTGGACTTCAACTCCCAGAATTCCTGAGCCAGCCATGCTGAGGGGAAAGGGAGAGGTTTCCATGCTGAGCCATGCTGGCTCAGGAATTCTGGGAGTTGAAGTCCCAGTCTTAAAGTTGCCAAGGTTGAGGACCGCTGGTATAGATCAGGGGTGGGGAACCTTGGCTCTTTTAGGACTCGTGGACTTCAACTCCCAGAATTCCTGAGCCAGCCATGCTGAGGGGAAAGGGAGAGTTTCCAAGCTGAGCCATGCTGGCTCAGGAATTCTGGGAGTTGAAGTCCACGAGTCATAAAAGAGCCTACCCCTGGTGTAATATAAGCCCTATACCAAAAATAAGCCCTAGTTTTGGGGCGAGGTGCATGCCTAAAAATAAAGATAGGGCAGGGGTGGGGGTGGTACCTCTTTTGGAGGCCAAAAAAACATAACAAAACATAAGCCAGGGTCTTATTTTCAGGGAACCACAATACTAGACAAGACACAAAAGTCACCCTGAATTTGCAAGCATGTTAACCGTTTTTAATCTGAATTAGTTGAAATGGTTAAATTCAAATTAATAATTAACAGAAGGAAAAGGAGCAGCGTTAGGGCTGCTTTAAAAAAAACTACGAAATTATTTTATGAGGTTGGGCTGTTCTGGGTTTCCTTATGTTCTGCTTGCATACAGTAAACATGTTTTGTGAGACGTCTCCCACGGACTTCATCCAAAAGAAATTAAAAGCAATTACACTGTTTCTGAGAGATTTGTTCACACCCCACGGGCTAACCAGTGAGGCTAGCAATGACTTATCTCGTCCTGCAGATCTGGCACTCTCCACCAAACATTAGTTACAACACAGGAACCGCTCAGTAGGGCAGTGTTCCTCAAAATTGGCACCATGGAAGACTGCGTCGTGAACGTCATCTCCCAGAATTCCACAACCAGCCTTGCTGGCTTGGGAATTCTCGAAGTCGAAGTTCAAGCAAACTTCAAAATACTAAGGTTGAGAACCACGATACTAGAGTTACATCCAAACTTCAGCGGATAAGAGTTCTCAGTCATACATCATAATCTACAAATCACGATGGCATATTCAAACAGCGTTCCTAGCGAAAATAGAATCAAGATCACATGAAGTGTTAGTGCCGCTTTATAACATCTTGGTAAGGCCACCCATGGAATACTGCATCCAGTTTTGGTCACCATGATGTAAAAAAAGATGTTGAGACTCTAGAAACAGTACAGAGAAGAGCAACAAAGATTATTAGGGGATTGGAGGCTAAAACATATAAGGAACGATTGCTGGAATTGGGTATGTCTAGTTTAATGAAGAGAAGGACGAGGGGCAACATGATAGCAAGTCTTCCCATATCTCAGGGGGCTGCGCCAAAGAAGAAGGAGTCAAGCTGTTCTCCAAAGCCCCTGAAGGCAGGACAAGGAGCAACAGATGGAAACTAATCAAAGAGAGAAGCAACCTAGAACTAAGGAGAAATTTCCTGACAGTGAGAACAATTAATCAGGTGCAACCTGCTTCACCCTCACACACACACCCAAAAAAAGTCCTGCTTCTTTGGCCCTGCTGCTTGAGTTGATCTCTGCAATTGATCTCTGGAGTTGATCTCGAGTGGAGTGGAATGGAATGGAACGGAACAGAAAATATGGAATGGAATATAATAGGGAATAAAATAGGGAATAGAATAGAATAGGGAATAGAATAGAATAGGGAATAGAATAGAATAGAATAGAATAGAATAGAATAGAATAGAATAGAATAGAATAGAATAGAATAGAATAGAATAGAATAGAAAATGTGGAATGGAATGGAATGGAGTAGAACAAAACAGAACCGAACAGAAGCTGGAAGGGACTTTGGAGGTCTTCTAGTCCAGCCCCCTGCTTAAACAGGAGAACCTATACCATCTCACAGAAGTGACTGTCCAGTCTCTTCTTAAAAATCTCCACTGATGGAGCACCCACAACTTCTGGTGGCCAGCTGTTCCACTGGTTGATTGTCCTCACTGCCAGGAAGTTTCTCCTTAATTCCAAGTTGCTTCTCTCCTTGATCAGTTTCCAACCATTGTTTCCTGTCCTTCCCTCTGGTGCTTTGGTGAACAATCTGCCCCCCTCTTCC